TATAATAGAGTTAATTATATAAAAAGTCAATATATTAGATTTGTGAGTTCTTATCAAAATATATCAAATTTTTTGAACCGGTTTATGAACCGGATTTTAAATTTTAGCGTTCCGGCAAAAAAAATATTAGCACAACACCACTGCCAGTTGTGATCATAAGAATAAGTGATATTTAACTATTTAAACTAGACATTAGTGGAATATACAATTATGTTGTCAATGATTTAATCCAAGTCAATATTTTTGAAATATTAGCAGTATTTATTTACTAAGAGGCGTCCATTAATCTCCCCTACTAAACATCACGTGTATTTTTAGTTACGCGAAGAAATAATGTATTTTTAATTTTTCTTTAAATGTTTGGATTTTTTTTAAAAATCGGGTAAAACATAAATACACGAAATATCTTACTACACCCGTCCCTCTTCCACGTGATATTTTGTGATTTTTTGTAAAAAGCGTCCCCTCTCTTCCACAAAAAACCTTACGCGATTAATGGACACCCCCTAGGTAGAAGGGTTTATACAAAAACCGACATTTAAGAAAATCTGTGTTCAAATAGTCTTTTTTTCAAAAAGCTGATTTTAACCGGTTTCGAGTTTTCATAAAATATTTGCTCGAATAATTTGAACAAAAAATTTCAACAGAATTTCGGATGATTAAGGCAGTTTTTGACTCAAATTATTCACTTTTCAATTTTATTGATACAATAACAATATTGATATGTACAATTTTCATGCAATTTAGTAGAACAAAAAAAAGTCCAGTAAACCTTAAAAACAATTAATTATTTTTTGTTGATGCATGATTTTTGCACATAAGCGTTAATTTTTAAAATAATGGAACAAAGGATGACTATAGATTTGCAACAGTGTTTTCATCAATGAGGTACGCTTGGTTAAATTTGTCATTTTCATCAATAGAAACTTGATAATTTTGTACTACAAAACGGTTTTCGAATGCCTTAATTTTCTCCTCAAAAACCGTTTTAAAAACCCCCAAACCCTACTAAGTAACTAATGTTATATGCATTATTATTGCTATATATTTCGTATGTAGGTTTAATTTCAAGGTACAAAAGTGGTCCTAGCTGTTTCATATGCTAAACTCATCACAAGATATAAAAAAGGTACTTTTAAAATATGCTTTCGTGACGCGAAATTCTTTTTGAGACAAATGTGGTAAAATTTACATGCTAATTGGAAATCGCTAATTTACTTGTTGATTAATTTAGGAAGTCTAGGTATGTATAAGGGTTTAGGAATCGTATCGCATTGAGTATAACATTTGTGTTGTTAATTTATGAGCTGTTGTTTCAGCTTAAAACTATAGTTCTAGTTGCACCATGGACTCCGGTTATCTATTATGCAGTGCTGATCACTAGTCTAGCTCTATTTGCGACTTATTTATTTTGTCTGCGGAGGTAGTTTTAACCCAGTTAATTCTGATATGAAATAACATAGCTGGAAAAACAACTGATGGTCGACAACGAGTCGAGCTGTGATTAAATATTGAATATTGTCTGGTGTCGCCGGGCGGTTTAACTTTCGTGTTTGCGTTGCCTCATAATGAAAGCTGAAATATTTACACGGCCAGTTCGTCACAAAAGCTCCGAAAGCTCTAACGTTTTCGTTATAATCATTATTCGTAGAAATACCACAGAGACATACAAAGTTGCATGCGACCTATATCGTTCCTCCAGAGATTAGAGCGAACGGGTTGCTTTTTTAGGGTTTTTATCATTTTTTGACATTTGACAATTACAAGTGTCTTTTATTTTGATTTGTATATTGCTTAAAACGTGTAAAAAGAATTGTATGGAATTAGATGAGTTGAAATTTTGAAACGCGGTAATATATTCTTATAAACCAAACCCAAATGTTGGAAATTAGTATAGAATTAATTATGAGAATTGATTAAAGCTATTTACCGCCAAAGCATTTAATGTTTGTATAATTCAATGAACAACTGTACTTTGTCGCTTTGACGCTTACACAATATGTTTTACTTGGAAGACATCTAAAGGCATCTGTCACGAACAGAATAACAATTAATAATAGATTAATTAATTATCAAGAGGATCGTTTAATTGAATAACGAAATAATTTGTTAAGACACTCACGTTTGCTTTCATCGCCGTTCTTGAAATTCTTACATTTTGAATGCGTTGCCATAATTAATTAGAATATGTTGTAAGCTAACTATAATTGAAAGAAAACTTAGTTATGAGAGTTATTTATTTCTGATATTGTAATGTTTATTAGTATATATCAAATTTTGCAAATTATTAATAAGTGCGGCTTTAAAATCAAATGCGGCCCTTGAGTTAAAGAGATTGCTTATCATTACTCTATTTCATCTCGTTTGCTTGTAAGCAAATATTCTATTTTTTTTTTGGTCATCAAATGCAGTAGGCTTACTTTTTTGTTTAACTTTGGCCAAACTCATTGGTTTTTTTTAATTTCCTTCAAATTTCCCTGGTCAATCTTTGCAACTATTTTAGTTGGTATTATTAGAAGATTTATTTTTTGGTTGCTTTATTTTTGGTTATCTTGCTCTATGGAACTATGATGATAGCATCCTTAGTTTTAAATTTTCCACGTTTAAAATGTGTTTTGAATCCTACTAATGAAGTTGTATTTTATAAGCCGTGCTGAAACTTTTAATTATATTCATGACCGGCACGGTTAATTACTGAACACGTATGACTTGGTGGCAACTGCAACGCCTCAAGCCAAAAGCAGAGGTGAGCAACCATTTAAAAAATAGTAAATAGTCTTGAAATAGAGTTACATTTAATTTCAAAAATCGGAAATTTAATTTATTACCAAACTGATTAGAAAAATGGGTTTGAAAACTAATTTTACTTAACACTTTTTGTCTTTTTTCTCCAAACAATATATTATAAATTTTCAGGCCATCAATAATTCAAAGATATGTGTTTCTTGTCAATGATTTAAGAATAGTAGATTAACATATTCAATGGGCTCTGTTTACCTTGCTATTATATTTTTAATTTTATTGAGAAATGTTAACAACACCTGTTATTTTACCATCAACCATAAGGCTTTAGCTTCCTCAATGAATTTATTTATTTTGCTTGATCGTTTGTGTGTAGTTGCCTTTGCACGCATAATTCGCTATAGAAATGCATAAACAATGCAAAACTTATACGATGCGGTCGTTAAAGTCTTTTTCTTTCGCACAAACGAATATGTTTCACCATGTTTCTATGTCATCTTCCTTTGTGAGATTTCTTTACGTATTTTACAAACAGATATTGAATTTGTAGTAAGAAAGGGAACAATGTTATAAAACTTTTTATGATACTGTATCGTGAATTTATTTAAATTGGTTTTATCTAAGGTAGGTAAATTTAATTTTATTGTATTTGACAAAAAAGTGTTACTCAATTAATGTACTAAATAGTCTCAAACAATGTATAAATTTTAATAACCAAATAATTTTATAAATTTTATATTTTTAAGCGTGTTTGTTCGCAACTAATTTAATAATTTTGCAATTACTTGTGGTCAAGATTTAGCCCTTCGGGGTAGGGAGTATATTTATATGAATATAAATATCTGTAACTTATAATAACTGAGAGACTAGCAAAAGTAAAGAGAGAAGAAGGTTGTAGAGTGAAGATTAATATATATCATAAACTAAATAGTGGTCTTATTCCCATACCTTATGGTGATGGAATATTTATAATTTACAAAATTTAAAGAAAAGAAAAGAATCCGATATTTTTATTTTTTATGGTTCGACATAGATATTGGTTTACATCGTTGTTTTTGATATTCTTTAATATTGGATTTAAATCTCAACATTTTTATTTTGAATATATTTAAATATTTTTAACACTTCCTAATTATACAATAGACAATTAGTAGCTATTTATAAATTCATTTCTACATGAAATGGGGAGCACCATAATTTATATAAACTTCGAAGTACATCGCATTAAGTGCAATATAATAATGCACTTTATATTGTTTAGTAGATTTATGAGGTAATTAACACAATTCAGAAAATTGAGGTTTATGATCCTCGTAATGTTCTTATTTCATCTTCCTGATTTTCTTCTCGGCATTAATTGGCCTCCTTGATATACCTACCTGCGGGACGGATGATGCATCAGTACGTTGCTCCCCAGTGGAAGGGATCCCCGTTAGATTTCCTCTGGAGCGAGGCCCGCAATGGTCATGCGAGGCTCTTGACCTTCAAACCAAACCGTGTCTTTTCTCTGTGCTTACGAATCCGTGACAACAAAGACTTGTCGTTCGTTTCTGTCTTCATTGTTTCCATTTGCCTCAATTGGATTCTTCATCATTGTCTCAAACGCGGAGCTGACGAATGAAGATGCCTGCCTGCTGATGTTAAGGGCAACTTTCTATGGCTCATGATTTGGGATAATTGATAAGTTTGATCGCCACACTAAAATGATAGCTATTACACGATTAAAGTATCTTTATAGGCTTTACCATGATTTCTTTCATACAACTGCATCTGTTAATAAAACTACTTATTACTAGTTTTTATTACTCAGCTAAAAATAAGTCGGATTTTCCTCCCTGACGATTTAAGTCCAGAGCGCACGAACCGATTTCGACAATTTTGCATTCATTTGAAAGGTCTCGGGCTCCGCAAGGTTTATAGCTAAGAAAATTAGTGGTGCATGTCATCGTGCCTTAATGCAAATTGCTGGAACTTCACGCACCGTCATTAAAAATTCGAGTAATGACATTACTGAGAATGATCAGAATTATGCTTGGTTAAGTCAACGAGCAATTCTTGCCGCAAAGAATAATGATGTACACGCACTGAATTTCACCATGCAATCAAAAATTGCTGGCGATTTGATGACATACTGATGATTCCGACTGATCTTTTGTTTGACTTCAAACGATTGCAATTTCCAGTTCGCCTTAATAACAAGTCGCAAGGCCAATCGCTTAGTGTTTGCGGGATAAACTTCAAATAGGTTATATAGAAAATCATTGTTTTTCACACGGGCAGTTATACGTTGCCTATTCACAAGTTGGAAAACCATCCGCTTTATTTCTGTTAACGCCAGACCGAAAAACAAAAAATGTGGTTTACCAAAGAGTACTTCAATGAAACAGATAATTTGCGGATTCACTTTTATTTGCTTAGAGAAGTTCAACTAAAAAACACTTCATTTTTGTAATAGAAATAAATTCATTACTGTTGTGTAATAAAATCAAATTTTTGCTTTTCAAATATAATACAAACAAAAAACTTCTTCATCTTTCTCACGAAACCATCTGGTGGCGAAACGGAGTTCGTCGGGTTTGCTAATCGTGATATATAAATGTACTCTCCTGAGTAATACGGATCTATATTAGAATCTCTATTGGTTTGAATAAAGAAACTTTCCTGGGTTTCTACACGTAATTACTAAAATATACGGTTCTTTACTGCATAATTAGTGATTCTGAGATATTTTATCTTGAAATGTATATTTTTAGTACAGCACGCATGGTGAAATCTACGTGCAATATACAAACGGAATATAAAGATAAATATCGGTATAAATCACACAACCAGTAATTCACGCGCGACTAACTCTCTGACCGCGTGGCCAACTGCAACTGCAAATCTATTGTGCACGTTCACCGTTCTCCACTTGGTGTTAAACTTAGACTAGAAGTTGGTGTCACATGAACTTTGAAAAAAGGCAACATTTATTTCTCAATTAAAATTCAATTCATCCACCATTGCCCTAAACTTTTCGGCATCATGCCACTTTTATATAAGATGACGAAGGTTGAAATTTAGGAGTTAGGTAAGTGCAGTTGATCATCATTTTGTTGAAATGATAGTTATTAAAAAAATATATTTTATTTTATAATAGTTGTGTGATGTGAGCTTCACTATTACTCCACATTAATTTTATCTGATCCTCTTTACTATGCTTATAATCAAAATTGTAATCGGGAAACTTCTAGCAAATTGTGACATACGTAATTATAATAATGGCAATAATAATAAAATTTAACTGCATAAACCGCATATCGCACAACTAATCTACCGCGATATATTTTATTACTCATTGTTATAATGTTGTTAAAGCTTTCTCTATTATCATTATTCAAACCCGTTCGAATATTTATGTTTGTGCAGAGTAAATGCTATGGATGGCTTTATTTAATGATTAACGATTAATTAATAAACAAAAATCACACACACACACACACACACATATATATATATATATATATATATATATATTTTGTAGAGTTTCGAACAAGAATCCAAAAATAATACAAAATAAAAAACAAGAAAAGTTTTTAAAAAAACAATTTCTTTATTTAATTATTTGTTTATTGTCGACGTTTCGGAACTAGGTACGTTCCATCTTCAGGACATCTGTCAAGAAACATGATCTTGATGAGATTTTTGCAAACAATATGTTTAGGAAAAGAAAATAGATTTTTCTTAAATAATGAATTAAATTGTAAAAAATATAATAATGTACAGAAATATGATAATATGTTCAAAATAAAAATGATAAAAATAAATGAGTGGATTATCAAAACAGGATATTAAACATAATAGAAAATTTTTTTGAAAGTTATGGAAATTTTTTAAGAAAAGGTTAATGACAAAGTTGAATTAATTACCTGTATGTTTGAATAATGTGTATTATTCAAACATACAGGTAATTAATTCAACTTTGTCATTAACCTTTTCTTAAAAAATTTCCATAACTTTCAAAAAAATTTTCTATTATGTTTAATATCCTGTTTTGATAATCCACTCATTTATTTTTATCATTTTTATTTTGAACATATTATCATATTTCTGTACATTATTATATTTTTTACAATTTAATTCATTATTTAAGAAAAATCTATTTTCTTTTCCTAAACATATTGTTTGCAAAAATCTCATCAAGATCATGTTTCTTGACAGATGTCCTGAAGATGGAACGTACCTAGTTCCGAAACGTCGACAATAAACAAATAATTAAATAAAGAAATTGTTTTTTAAAAACTTTTCTTGTTTTTTATTTTGTATTATTTTTGGATTCTTGTTCGAAACTCTACAAAATATACACAAATCCAAGACTCTACCATTCAATATATATATATATATATATATATATATATATATATATTAGGGTGGTCCTTAAAACAGTCATTTTCGAATTTCCTTGCTCCCAGGGGCTCGAATGGTTCCAAATAGATAAAAAAACTATTCTCCGAAAGTTTTAGCTCTTAATATTAACGTTTAGATAGAGCGCAATTCAATCAAAGTTTTGTATGGAAATAGCAAGGAAAATTGTTCAAAAATTTTAAAAATGTTTTTTAGATGTAATTTAGCGAACAAATGAATGAATAAAACTCATTCATTTGTCGCTAACTTATACCTAAAATATTTTTTTTAAATTTTCAAATTTTTTTTTTAATTTTTCCATGCTCTTTCCATACAAACTTTGATTGAATTGCGCTCTATCTAAACGTTAATATTAAGAGCTAAAACTTTCAGAGAATTGTTTTTTATCAATTTGGAACCGTTTGAGCCCCTGGGAGCAAGGAAATCCGAAAATGACCATTTTAAGGACCACCCTAATATATATATTAGTCCATTAATTTAATCTGTCCTTTTTTCTTTTAGCAACTATTTAGGTCTCAACAACCCCAACTAGCCGGCGCAGCATCAGCCGTAGCAGCGTCCGCCGCCAGCACACCTTTGCAGCAACTGCAAGTGCAGCAGCAATTTCTTCAGCAAAGCTATCACCAACAACCTCCTCCCTATGTTATCAATGCAGCGCCCGCAACTGGACAAGAACCCGCACCTCCATATGTCGGTAAGTGATAATAATAAGTAGTTGGCGAAATTGGAAGATTACCTTGATTGATTGACTCGATCAGGCATCATGTAAGATGTAGAACTGTTTATTAGTATTACTGGATAAGGGAAAGATGTGAAGTCAAAATCGATAGCATTTTCTAATTACATCAAATCTCGGTGTAAAATGCCTTATGATTCTATTGTTTATGTTGCTTTTGGATTGAATCTAATGCGATTGTATTTTTCAATCCTATTGATAACACATAACAGTAGTTTGTTTGCGTGTGCTCTTGATAGAAATCTTTAAACAAATTCTTACGAGTTTGTCTTACTAATTATCATCACATCGCTTTTATTAGTATATTGTCATTGTCATGATTGAGTTCTTAGGAAGTATCTGCAATTATATACTCATATGTATTTATTTATATATAATTGATCGATGACGAGACAAAATTATAATTGCTTATTTAACGTCGTTGTGCATATTTTTTAAATTGTTTCTTTCTTGCTTCTGTATGCTCGAAATTATAAGTTCTATTTTCATTTTGTGACATATTAGTAAACCTTCTATCATCAATTTGAGTATCATAAACAGATGGAGCAGATATCATAATATGCAATTAATTGCAAATGATCTATTTGATAATAATTTTAATAAAAATATTATAAGAGGATTATCATATAATATATAAATTATTAGTTACCTATAAAATCACAGAATAAAATATTTTTTGAAGATATTATTTGAAATCGAGCTGTTTATTGCAATCTGCAATGTTACGCTATTTCTGTAAGCAAAATCAGCAGTTCGAATGATTCTAACAGTTTTCATATGCTTTTTCTCATCAAATGCTATTTTTTTCATTGAACTTTTTCCACAGAAATTTCATGGTTGAAAATATTTATTGTGGTTCAGGTAAATTATGGTTTTGACTTATATTTCAGGTGCTCTCATCGCTGGAGTTCCGCCGCAATATTACGGCGTGGCAGCACCATGGGGCGTATATCCTGCCGGATTGTTGCCGCAAAATGCAGCTGCTGCGGCAGCGCAACCGCGTCGGCCACTTACACCATCACAACAACAAGACCAAGTGAGATATTTCCCTAATTTGTTTCATATAATGTTCTCAACAAAATAGTTGGTTTAATATTTTGTCTTATCTTAAATATCGATTACTATTTTCTATTCATTGTTTCAGGTCCAAGGTCAATATCAAATGATACCTGCCTATTATGATCAGAGTGGATCCCTTGTTATGAGTGGTGGTGTTCGTAATGGAACACCCATGCGTTTAGTTAGCCCTGCACCTGTTCTCGTACCACAACAACAGCAACAACAGCAGCAGCAAACAGCGGCAGGTGTACAGGTATGGGACATTTATTGTTAACAACTTGTGTAGTATTGAACATGATCAGTTATTTCTTACGGTAGATGTATGACATAATATTCATATTTTAGGCGTCTCGAAACACAGTTCAACAACAACAGCAACAGCAACAACAGCAAGCTGTCGCAGCAGCGGCTGCTGCTGCTGCTGCACAACAACAGAGTGGTGCTGGGCAGCAGCTTTATCAAACGCAAGCATCCTCACAAACTTTGTACGCTCCGCAAAATGGTAAGTTGTTTATGATTTTCAAGGTTTTTCTTTATAAACTGTGCAACAACAGTTATTGTAGTAAAATAATGAGGGCCTGTGTGAATTACGAGCGCAAAATAAAAAATAGAAAAATTTGCATCTAAACATTTGCATTTCAATTTTATTTAAATTACTATTAGTGAGTTTCTCTTATAACCTGGTACGAAGATAAGAGTACAATTGTTTACAATGTTTTATAGAATGTGCTTTTAAATATAGAATCTTATAGTTAATGCCCAAAAATTTTGTCGGAGCTTCTTTAGTAGCTTCAGGAAAGGTTTCCAATGATTGAAATATTTGCTTTTATGCAGGACTATAATAAAAAAGAAATAATGATTTAATCATATTCTAGTCAATTGATGTGATCAGTCTTTATGCGAATTGTACAATATTATAAATAAGATTTAAAATAACAGTTACTTCGATAATAATTATTATTTTTTCAATAAAGCTGCAGTAAAATTATTTTTAATATTGGATTTGACCTAATACATTTGACCGGCTGTTTAGCAATAACCATTGATTATTTGAAAAAAAAACAGTCATATTTTTATTCAACAAGAGGCACTCCATTTGCACGGCTTAGTTGTTATTTTTGGTAAAATACATGTGTGTTTTGTTAATCAACTAATCCTTAATTCATTCATATAACCCATTCCATAGCTATCATATTAATTGAATACATACTAAAATATGTGTTTTAAAATGCACAAATATGTTATTGTACATATGTAAATATATAACACAGTGGTTGACATATGTCCCTTTAGGTGTTGGTACTGGTGCCTTATTTCCGGGGCTTCATGCGCCTCAACCATTTAGCGGAGGCTTAGGCACTTTAGGAAGCCCTGCCACACAATCAGGTACAATAATCGTGCATGAAGGTGTAACTGCACATAATATATTAAAAATAATTCTTTAGAATAACATTGAACATACTTGTATATTCAGTTAGCATAATATTTAACCCTCCGTCGGTCGGATATTTTTTCACCTTCGAACAGTCGGAAAGGTCTGGCTGGACCACCATTCATTTTACATGCATTTATATGCGATAAATGAGTTTTTGGAGTCTTATATATTAACGATTATATAAAAAAATCAAGAAATATAAAAAAATCGTTGATTCTTTTGTTAATTTTTCTGTTTTATATCAATGAAAAACAATATTTATTCTTTTTCGGCGCCTTTGAAATGAATGTGAAATTCAAATGAAAACGAAATGAGATGCGTCGCCTTTGAAATGAGCTGTAAAACTCAAAGTGAAAATATAATTTCACTACAGGTTTGCCAAAACAAAAAATTCGAACGCGGTACGGGTAAAAAAATTGTTGATAATGTGTGCATTACTCATCCGATTTTCAGTGTTTGCGATTACCAATAAGTTTGGTAGGTTTTCAAGAAACTCTCGTCATGAAAATACTAACATTCATGTTACAACACATAGCAATGAATATATACAACGCAGTTTGAATAGAAAATACCATGAAAAAAGGCAAAATACTGGTTTAAATATATCAAAAAGCGTATATTTCATACAAAATGTATGGGTGGTCTAGACAGACCTTTCCGACCGTTCGAAGTATAAAAAAGTTAATATCCTTATAATTATCCTTCTGTACATTTTTTCGTCCAGTTTTCATTGATCGACAGCTAATGAAATTTTAGGAAAAGTCAAGAAATTTCAAGTCGATAGGATTACTAGAAGTTTTTTTTTTTAATTGAAGTCGAAAAAAGTCTGGCCAGACCACGCTGACCGACGGAGGGTTAATTTAACGAAGAAGTAGTTGACAACATGTACTATATTTAAAAAAAGTGACATAATTTAACCATTTCTCCTCAACTATTTGTATAATATTTTTATCGCTTGTAGGCTGTTTAACTAATTCATTACATTAGTTATACTACTTATTAACGTTTTAACAAATTAATTTAAAATGATTAGAATATTTGAGTAATTTATGTAATTATGTATATAAATGAACAGGAAACTTTTTGTGTCGAGTAATTAGTTACACAGATTGTATATGTTTAATATTTTTGTAATCTTATTGAATTATTTTTCAATTCGATTTCATTCGAATATTTAACTATTGAATTTTTTTAAATATTATAGATTCGAACAAATAGTTTTAAAGCAAGACAATTTCACTTGTTCTAAATCTATAAAGAATTGATCAGTTATTTGCTTTTTGCAGGCCTCGCTTTGAATACGACATCGCTTACTGGACGACGTGACTCCTTCGATCGCAACACGTCCGCGTTCTCGCCTTCTCTCGAATACGCTGCCACCGCCAGACCAAAATGGGCCCAAGGCTATGGAGCAGCAAGCACCGCAGGTGTAGCCGCAGGCGGCGGCTCTTCTGCTAGCCCTTTGCCGCAGTTGGGAGCACCTCTGACGCCTCCACCACCTCAGACCGCGCATGCTTTACATACGTTACAACATGCTCACGCGCACCACACGTTGCAGCAGCACCACCAAATGCAACAACAGCAACAACAGCAGACAGCGCCAGGATTAGGAGCATTAGTCTCAGCAACGCGGGTGGTGAGAAATTAATTTTACCCTAACCGTTTTAGCCATCAGTCTACGAATACTAATACACATCAATCTACTCAATATGTTCGCTTAATTTATTTCACGATGAATCGTGTACTTTTTAATATTAGTTGCAACTAGGGTTTATACAAAAACCGACATTTCAGAATACCGGTTTTCGAATTGTAAATTTAGCAGAAAACTGGCTTTAACCGGTTTTCGAATTTTATATAAAAAATCAATTTTTGCTCGAATATTCTGTAATAACAAAAAAATTATCGGCAAATTTAGTGTTATTTAAAGCAGTTTTGAACTGAATTTATTTAATGTTCAATTTTATGAATAGTGAACAAATTTAATTAGTAGAACAAATAATTTTAATTAGTAGAACAAAGAAATAATAGCTGATCTGGATTAAATAACTTTGAAAATGATTATTCGTTATTCATGCATCATTTTCACATATGAGAATATAATTATTTTTATGATAATTAAAGAAAAGAAATGAATAAATAAAAATTATACATTTTTTCATAAAAAACTTAACCTTTAATTAAATAAAAAAATAGATACATACATATTGATACATACTTGTTAATGTCAATTTTAGTTCTAAAAACAATTAAACGAAGCTCCGAGTTTATTTTATTTCAAACAATTTTAATTAATTAATTTCAAATATTTAATTATTTTTTGGTTTGATGAAATATGATTTTTAAAAGCTGAGGACGTCTATCGATTTGTTATTTAGAAGTGTCCTTTGTTTACTCACAAAGTTTTCGGAAATAGAAAATACTCTCTCACTTGCAATCGAACTAGGCTTAATCGTTTTTAAAGCATGATAGAATAATTCTGAAAATATTGTTCTTTTATTTGTGACTTCTAAGGCTAAAAGCCCTTTTTCAAAATTTGAGTAGACAATTCAATTCTTCAACGAGAAGTTACATCGATCTAAATTAACATATACATTGATATAATCTAATTTAATATATACACGAGATAAATTATAACACAGAACCTTTGTGGGAACTATACCAGACTGATATGATTCCAAATTTTATCGAACCGATATGATTCCAAGTATCAAAACGCTTGCTCCCATCTAGTAAATTTGTCATTTTCCATTTAAACGGTAAAAACCGATTTATTCCGCTAAAAACGGTTTTCGAATTTCATAATTTCCGTCAATAAGCCGGTTTTCAAAACCGGTTTTTGAAAACCGACAATCTCTAGTTGCAACTGATTTATTTTTATGCAGTGATCGATTTGCTTATTGTATGACATTTATAATCTTACTGTTGTATAATAATGTCGTTGTTTTTATATAAATTTTATTTTATTGCAGGTATCAGCCGCTCCCGGAGCCGAAGCTGCAAAGTATCGTCAAGTAGGTTCGCACTCTCTCGCTCCTGTTGGTCTGGCCACAGCAAATGCCATGTTTGGCAGTACCGGCTCCATCTTCTCAAAACTGGCCGCTCGACCAGGTTGCGGGGCTGTGGTCGCAGCGTCATCGGCCGCCGCGCTGATAGCTCAGCCGACAACTGGTGCGGCGGGCGCACTTGCAGCCGAAAGACCGCCGGGAAGGTCTCGCCTATTGGAAGATTTTCGTAACCAACGTTATCCTAATTTGCAACTGCGAGAATTGACTAATCACATTGTAGAGTTCTCTCAAGATCAGCATGGGTCTAGATTTATTCAACAGAAATTGGAAAGGGCGACTGTGCCGGAGAAGCAACTTGTGTTTAACGAAATATTGGTAGCAGCGTATAGTTTGATGACTGACGTGTTTGGAAATTACGTAATACAGAAATTCTTTGAGTTTGGGACGCCGGAACAAAAAAGCACTTTAGCTCAGAAGGTATTAAAAATTTTATTTTGCTATAATATATAAATATATATTATATATTCGTCCTTTCGAACGTATTTTTTGTATATTACTAATGTTTTCTCATGGTTTTCCTTATTCAAATCATTTTTCAATTGACTTAAAGTTTTTGATTGTTTTTTAACTTTCCGTAGGGCAAGTTATAGTAATCGCAAAAAAATTGAAAATGAAATTTTTTGCATTTCTCGACGTTTCAAAGGTTTCTAAAATATTTTGGCATACCTTAGGAAAAATGGATGTGTGTGTGTGTATGTGCGTGTGTGTATGTATGTGCGGATACAAATTTTCGTCGACGATTTCGGGAACACCGATCAACCGATTTGAATAATTCAAAGAACATTCGATTCGTATTGATTAGGAATCGTGCTGATTAATTTTTGGCAAAGGCAGGTCTAGCCGTTCCGAAGATACGGGGCAAAAAGCATTTTACTTGTATTGACAAGGTGAAGAACCGATCAAATTTTCATAAAGGCAGGTCTAGCGGTTTCGGAGATATAATGAAAAAAGTAAAAAAAAATGCCATTTGGCGATCAAAAATGATCATTAGACATATGCACACAAAATTATCAGATATTTTATAGAGATTTTAACAATAAGTATAAATTTGGTTTACATTCCTATGGGTTCCGTACCAATGTTTACGCGTTAGACGGCGACGCGGCGCTTACGCGCTTTGATATTTCGTCTTTATGCAGTTAAAGCAGTACGATTGCTTTGAAAAAAAGTTTAGATCTTCCAAAATATGTCAAAATAAAGAAAACATTATTTTTCCAAAAAAAGAAAATTAAAAAAAAAAAAAAAATTAAAAATTTTTTAGGTTAGAGGTCATGTGCTACCACTAGCACTGCAAATGTATGGATGTCGAGTGATACAAAAGGCTTTGGAATCCATTCCTCCAGAACAACAACAAGAGATCGTTCGAGAGCTTGATGGTCATGTACTCAAATGTGTAAAGGATCAGAATGGAAATCATGTTGTTCAAAAATGTATTGAATGTGTTGAACCTATGGCATTACAGGTTGGTGAAAATTTATGAATACACAATTAAATTATACATTAAAATTTTATGACACTTTTTTTTAATAATTTTGATAATTATAGTTCGTAATAAATGCGTTTTCCGGGCAAGTATATTCCTTAAGCACACATCCATATGGGTGTCGTGTTATTCAGCGCATTTTGGAGCATTGTACAGCAGAGCAGACGACTCCAATTTTGAGTGAATTGCATGCTCACACTGAACAGCTGATACAGGTAGATATAATTTGATAAATATAATTTTTCATGAATGTGTTTTGAAAATTTTAGTTATATAAATCGTTCCGTAGCATAATAAAAATTATAAAACTGTTGAAATGCATTTTTTTTTGTATGGAAACAAATTGATCTTACTTACAATTTTTTTTAAATATTATCAATCACTTTGGTTTTCATTTCATTTATTTTATGTTATGAATAATGTCTTTGCAGGATCAATATGGAAATTATGTCATCCAGCATGTTCTCGAACATGGAAAACCTGAAGATAAAGCTGTATTGATAGCTGGTGTACGAGGAAAAGTACTTACCCTTTCACAGCATAAATTTGCTTCAAACGTTGTTGAAAAGTGTGTAACACATGCTACACGTGCCGAAAAGGCCCAGCTTATTGAGGAGGTCTGCAACTTCAACGATAAGTAAGTAATTACAGAATTAAATATCAATTTATATTTTAAATGCAAGCACTATTTTTTCGTTCAATTGTGATATTTAGTTTCAAATTAGTTTTAAAATTTCAAGTATTTTTAAATTTATTAACTTCCCTTAGGGTAAGTTATAGTAATCGCAAAGAAATCGAAAATGAAAATTTTTATATATCTTTACGTTTCAAAGGTTTCTGAATATTTTGGCATACCCTAGAAAAAATGGATGTATGTGTGTTTGTGTGTATGTGTGTGTGTGTGTGTGCGGATATAAATTTTCGTCGACGATTTCGAGAACACGGTTCAACCGATTTCAATTATTCAAAAAACATTCGATTTCTATTAATAAGGAGACGTTAAGGAGTTTTTAGCATAGGCAGGTCTAGCCGTTTCGAAGATACGGGCAAAAAGTGCCAAAAACGATAACTAGTTATTAGGAGAAAGGAGCGTCCGATTTTAATAATTCAAAAAATATTTTACATGTATAGACAAGATGAAAAACTGATTATATTTTTGAGAAGGCAGGTCCAGCGGTTATTAACTCTCAGTAAAAATAAGTTAAAAAAAATGTCATTTGGCGGTCAAAAATGTTTATTGGATATATGTAAATCAAATTATCAGATATTTTATAGAGATTTTAATAATGTGCACAAATTTTTTTGGATTTTTTAATTACGGTACGGGAAGTTCCAGCAATTTGCCTTGAGGCGCGATGCCATGCACCCCACTAGTTTATTTATGATTACGATTTGCTAATTTTATGAAATTATAGATTTTATGATCTGAAATAACATACTGAAATATTGTGGACCTATGATAATCTGGTCAAGGAATATACATTCCTTGTTTCTTTCGTTGAGTATACATTTTAGAACTGAACATGAATTTTACGAAATTGATGAAATGAAATGTGTCAAATTAATATAATGTATACATTTACATACAGATATTATAAGTATGTTTGAATGACATAAATTGTAAATCGTATCAATTATTTCTTAATAAAAGTGAAAATGTTTCGAAATACACACTTGAACATCTTAATTCTTATTGATTGAGTTATTATGCGTACGTATTGGGAAGTTCATGCAACTTGTCTTAAGGCACAATGCTACTCACAACTAGTTACTTATGAGATCTAAATTTATATCTGATACTGCTAATGCGCTTTTTACATTTGTGATATAGATAATAATGGTCTTTTTTATGGTGACAATTGAAATCAAAATGTGCTTACAAAATATCGTGATTTTGGAGGAAGGTAATCACAATGAATGTGAATTTTTATTTTAGTGCCTTGCATGTGATGATGAAAGATCAATATGCCAATTATGTTGTGCAGAAGATGATAGATGTATCAGAACCAGCACAGAGGAAGATTTTGATGCACAAGATCAGACCTCATTTGAATTCGCTCCGTAAGTACACATACGGAAAACATATCATTGCAAAACTTGAAAAGTTTTTTATGAAGTCTGCTAATGCTATGTCGGCAATCGGAGGTAATGATCTTGGCCCTATAGGACCTCCGCCAACTAATGGAGTTCTATAAATGATTCTGTTCGCAATCTATTGTCTGCTACAAACAAGATATAGTTAGTAGGATTGTTCTTTAGTAATAATAAGCTGTAATTCAAAGTCAATGTGGTACATATGTGCTAATTTATTGTTCATTTGATGTTATCTCTGGCGTATTTTGGACAATTGGTTTTACTTCAATTAATATTTTAAAACTTTTAATATCAAAATCGAAATTAATGCATTGCCGAGTGAAGTTTGTTCAAAATGATTTGTTTGATCTCTAATTGCGCATTAAAACTTTAATAAGATCTAATTTTATTAAAAGAACAATGTAAGTCATAAATTATATATGATATTTTATATACTTGTGTTTTTGGCACGTTATAATAGAATCCTTGATCGGGGGTTATAATTTGGAAAATATGTATAGTTGTGTATTTATCTATTTTTTCCTACATAAAATGTAGTAAACACAGTATGTTAATAGTGTATATGTAAGTATCGTGTATATTCTTTAATATACCTGTCCTATATGTATTTAAATAGAGAAAAACCAGGTATCAACAACAATAAAAATGTGTAAAGGAAGTATTTTGTATTATGTATTAAAAATATCTTTTAAAAGCCAAAAAATGGTACATACTATTTCTTGACCGTCATTAATTTACCATCTAAAACTTGTAAATTGATTTTCATTCATATAGTGTCTCATTTTAAAGAACAAATTATTTATATTTAGACATTATTTTGTGTATAATATTCATTTATATTATTCTTTAAATCATTGGAGAATATTTGTATAAAAAATGTCAGTCATTGAATTGAAGCATCATCATGCCTGTATTTAAAATGTGTACATTTGTTTATAAATATATTTATTATAGATTTTCTTACTTCATTTAATTAAAAAATAAATCAGAAACATTACAATTTAATTTTTATGGATTGTTGATCTTGTTAACGAAATTGAATGTAAAAAGGAAATTGTATATTACTTGTATTATATTGAAAATTGATTAAATTGCCTTGCATGTGCTGGAAATAATTATTTAAATGAATTAAGAAAAATATTTATGCGTTTTAAGTCTATTATATTTTGAAGTAATGGATTTTTGAGATGTAGAATAAGAATATGGCCATATTAGTAATTGCTGGTGACACTTTCAATGCTTCATAAAAATTATTTTTGTATTTCTGATTTAAAGAACTGAATGCATGTACATAGTTTTTTATTTATGATTTTTTTGGATTATACATTATTATATAAATAAGCATGAGGATAATTATATTACATTTAAAAGTCCATTTAGTTCTTTGTAAAATATGAAAAATATACTTCACAAGTAAATTGTAAAAATGTAAAAATTATTTTTTGATAATCTGACATTATCTTTGTTTCATATAGTCTTAGATTGTAAATTTTACTAACATTATAAGAATGGGAATTCTATAACAATTTTACTACTTTTATATAAAGCACAGCTTAAATAGGAGACACTTAACTTTCAATTGAAAATATTTATTAGTATTTGAAAACGAAATGTTTACAAATGTTGCATAATCATATGAGAATTCTAATGAAATTTGTAATACGACTTTATACTTGAAAAATATGATAAATTGTCATTCGCAGCTCTAATACTACAAAGCAGTATTTGCAATGTACTTTGATTTTAAGTAACAATGATATGTATTATTACTACATATATGTATATCTGTATTATAATTATGCCCAAAAACCTATTCATGTTGACGAACACCATAAATTAACTCATGCGTTAAGACATATTTGTATTTTATGTCAAATAATGATAAACATAAAATATTTGGAATATGTTTTGTATGTGCTTAATTTTTTATTGTCCGTGCATGAATTTGATTGTTATTGAAACGGGAAATATATACTAGATGTATAAACATATAGGTATACATGTACAATATTTCTTGTTATATATATATATATATATATATATATATATATATATATATATAAGATTCACGTGGTTTTTATGATTTTACCCATTGCATATGGATAGAAGTCAATTGTAGGCATAGAGACATGACTTAGTTTTTCATTGTTATCACCGAAATAAGTATGTTCAACTTCATAATTTAAAATCATATTATATTTGAAGAATAATTTATTCAATGCGTTTTGTAAATTTTCATTTCATTAATTATAGAATCATTTTTTAGAGTGTCATTTACTAAACTATGTGTTTATATGTGTATATACATATATTTGTATATTGATATGCCACCAATGAAATGAGTTTGAAATTAATATTCATTAACGATGGTATTGCACTGAATGTTGTTGATTATGTTTCGACTCCTTTAATAAAAAAAAACTCAGTATGTTGAGTAAATGAATGAGTAATCTCTGTTAGCTCTCTAAAATACAAATATAAATGCATAGTTAATATACATCAATATGAAGAGATTGCTTTGTTTGCTTTTATAAACTAAATGCTATATTTATGTATATATTTGTAATGAAATTGCAGTTTCTTATGTATGTATGCTGTGTTTATATATATATATATATATATATATATATATATATATATATATGTATATATATGCATTATTTATTGAAATAATCAATTTAACATAAAAGTGATGCATTTGTAATTATAAAACTATTATAATCTAGTTTTAGATTTAGTTTATTATTTTAATTAAACCTTTATAAAAGATAATTAATGAATTTATTAGTTTTGTTTAACTAGCCAACCCAGATAATTAAGTTGTGTAGAATTGGTTTAAATGACATAATTTTTGTAAAATTGGTATAACAACATGAATTGTAAACTATATGAAATTGCTTTTTATTGCTTTTATTATGAAACGAATTTTCATAATTTTGACTGATAACTAGCAATTATGAAAATATAATCAACTTTTAATATTGAAGGTATTTGGCGAAGTTGTTGATTCAAACGATATCTGGGTTTATAGTGATACTGATCTGAAAGTTACAATGTTTTATCTCGAAATCTAATTCTACATTTTAATCTTTAATTCATATATATTGTATATCGCTGTACAAAGAAAAATTATATAGCTGTAAATTGAAATTTCCCTTTAGTTGTAAAATCTACTTCATTATGAAGAATTAAGTCGGGCACCGTTGTATAATATTTTTACATAGACTATTGGCCTAATATTTAATTTACTCAAATTGAAAGCTTAAATCTGTCTAGTTCATATCTTTGTATTAGAAGTGTAAATATCAGCATGAAAAAAATCACTCATAATTTGTATATTTTATCACACATTCCATGAATTTAAAAAAAAATCTTCAACACCATGTCATCTTTCTATTTTCAAATCATTTGTATAAATGCACACATTATGATTAATTCTGAAAATATTAACGTCATAGGTATTTCATTTGAAATATACCACTGAATTTGAGATAGCACAGAGAAATTTCAATTTACTATGAGATATTCTATTATGGAATAGTTTTATTTAAATAAGATTTTTCCTTAAATATTGTATAGTGTTTTAGCACATTTATATTAAACATAACTATAAATATATGAATATTGTTCTTTATCATTATAAATATGAACCATATAAAATTATATAATAAAAGTATCTGTATTGAAAATAACTTTTAATGTCATTGTCATTATGTCGTAATTTCAGTTTGAAAATGTTTGGACTACTTGTATACATTCATGGACTATGTAAATTTTATTGAACTTATGAAAAAAATAACTTTTTTTCTTTCCAATCAGCTCCTTTTAGCCCGTTTGTCCATGACGACTCAGGTCAAATATTAGTTAATCCAACAGTGTCAAACACATTGAGATGGACGACTACGAAATAGCGACCCAACAGCCGTTTTATTACACTCACTAATATTCTGAGTGTCAACTCACGAGAAGCGATCGTGATCAACGACTTTGGAAGACTGGGTCGGGAGTTCGACTAGCGATCGCCGCGTGAATGAGGGATCGCGACCGATGTCGGGTTTGAAAAATCGGATTTCAAAGTCATGGACGATCTGAGAGCGATCCTTTCTTTTCATATCCATTTCTTCCTCTCCCTCGTGACTGACACCTTATCGTGGTGAGGGGGTCCAGTTGGGCGGTAACCGCCCAATTGAAAAGAGCAGCCGCCGCCTTATTTTGCACTTTTGTATACTAGATGAGTAAGAGATATTATATTTAAAATATTTAAGTTTTCGAATTTAACAGATATAAGTTTTCAAATTAAATTGAGTTAATGTGCGATAGATGTCGCATTCGTGTGTATTCCAATAGCGCATACTTTAAAATATAGAATGCATGTGCTTAAGCTAACCTTTCATTGCTGTTTTTTACGATGATCTGGTATGGGAATTATGCCATGCCAAACTACCTGATCGAGCCCGCAGTAAATATATAAGCAATAAACCACTGGAATTAGGATTTTTTTAGAAGACTAAAACTTTTCTTCTTTTTTTTTGTCCTTGTAATAATGTATAAAATATTGCATAAATATAATGTAATGTAAAACTATTAATTTTTGGGTAGAATATACCCTAGGGTAGAAAAACTCATACATAATTGACTGTATTTACATAAAATATATCCGATACATTGAATAAATGTTTATTTCTGTCTGTCTGTTTTTTACGATTTCGGTCTTGCTGCATGAAGATTCTACCGAAACTTCAAATTTTTTTTGTGACATCGATTGTTAGGCGAACTGATGGTTTACAATTTAAAGCTCGATTATGCCCACGATTTTATACAATTTTTTTTATCGATTTATAAATTTTAATTTTCCAGTTTGAAATTCCCGTGGACTACTTATATAAAATCATGTTTTTTTTTCAAGTATTTTTTTCTAATTTTGTCACGTGCCTCTGACACGGACTAAAAATAGTCCATGATATTGTTTTTAAATTAAAAAAATATTTTTCCATATTTTTTTCCAGGTTTTCTTTTCGAAAATTGTTTTTTTCATTTTTCTTGGAAAAGAGCGCGTCGGCGACTTGACTCGAAACATCGACCATAGATAACACCCGTTTCGTGGCGCAACTCGGGTGTCAAGTGACTAGTTCAAGCGAGAATCAATCTCTTCTGTCAGGCCTCTGGGGTGGAGGGGGTTCAGTTGGGCGATAACCGTCCAAATGCCAAGAGCAAGTCTATTACTAACTTTTAAGTTTAAGTAATCTCCTTTCACCACTTAATAAAGGTAATCCATATTGTTGTACATGAAAATACAAGTTATTAAATTTAATTGAATAAATTGTATAGATTTATTATATATAGACTTGTTTAAACTCCACCTTATTGCTGAAAGTTTACTACATATGCGACAGATGTCGCATTCCATAATTCATTCGTATGCATTATGTACAAAAAAACAACAATGTAAAATGTGTTTTAAATTATTGCAATAAGTACTTTTGTCTGTCTGTCTGTTTTTAGCATATTAGCCATTGATTTTATAAGTTTCTTGGTTATATTTTAGAGCTTTTTTAGAGCTCATAGCCTTTGATTTTATAAGTTTTTTTGGTTGTATTTTAGAGCTTTTAGCCTTTGATTTTATAAGTTTTTTAAGTTGTATTTTAGAGCTTTTTTCCAGAGACTAAAAATTTTGACTAAAAATTTTTTCCAAAAATGTTTTTCACTAAAAATTTCTCCAAAAATTTTTTTTGAACAAAAATTGTTTTGACCAAATTTTTTTTTTCCAAAATTTTTTTGACCAAAATTTTTTTGACTAAAAATTTTTTCCAAAAATTTTTTTACCAAAAATTCTTTTCACCAAAAATTTTTTTGACCAAAATTTTTTGGACCAAATTTTTTTTTGCAAAATTTTTTTGACCAAAATTTTTTTGACCAAAATTTTTTTCCAAGAATTTTTTTGATCAAAATTTTTTAGACCAACATTTTTTTTCCCAAAAGTTTTTTGACCAAAAATTTTTTTGTCCAAAATTTTTTTTCCCAAAATTTTTTTGACCAAAATTTTTTTTCCAAAATTTTTTTGACCAAAATTTTTTTGACCAAAATTTTTTTTCCAAAACTTTTTACCAAATTTTTTTTTCCAAAAGTTTTTGACCAAAAATTTTTTTGTCCACAAATTTTTTTGACCAATTTTTTTCTCAAAATTTTTTGGACCAAAATTTTTTTTCGCAAATTTTTTTTTTGCAAAATTTTTTTGACCAAAATTTTTTTGCCCAGAATTTTTTTTCCAAAAATTTTTTGACCAAAATTTTTTTCCCAAAATTTTTTTCAAGAATTTTTGAACCACAATTTTTTGGACCAAAAATTTTCTTCCC